CTCTGTTTCCAACTTTGTGGTGGTAAATTGGAGATAAAAGTCTCAAGGATTTTCCTGGTTGGCTTCAAACCATAATCCTCAGATTTCAGGCTCCTGAGATGAGGCTTTTTTTAAAAAAATAAATGTTATGTGTTTTCTCTCACTTTGGGAAGCTGGGGGTAAACAAAACAAAACAAAACCAAACAAAGCCATCCATTAACTAGAGAGGTAGAATGGAAAGGAAAAAGGGAGGAGGAGGGGACAACAAACAGCAACAGAGGTGGTAAATATGACTGCAGTATATTACATGCACGTATGGAAATGCTGCTCTGTGGCTTTGTCCAACAGTTTCCTCTAACTTCCCACCCCATGTATCACCCACAGATGACCATAAGCCCATCTGGATGCATGCAGAAGAGCGGGAAGAAATGAGCAAAGTGAGTGGGGGTACCACGCCTGGGGAACTTGAGGCTCCCAGAGCCTCTGCCTTGCTCCTGCCCTTAACCCAGCTACTCCACTCACTTCCTACCCCAGCCCCAGCTGCACCCTAGCCCAGGCTAGTCCACCCCCAGCATCTGTGTACTCTCATCTCTGGCTCTCCTTCTGCTGCAGAGCCGGCACCATGAGGGCGGCACACCCTATGCCGAGTATGGAGGCTGGTACAAGGCCTGCAAAGTGAGCAGGTAAGCTGCCAGAGATGAGCGCTTTGGCCTCTGAGGATGCCTTCTTCCATCTAAGCCCTGATTCCAGCCTCCAGGACCTTGTATTCTTTTACCCTTTGCCCTCAGCTCTGCTTCGCACACTCTCCCCCTCCCAATTCTTCCCTGCTTTCTTTTCTGAACCATTCTTCCTGCTTTCCTGGATTGCACTCCCATAGCCCCACAGTGAACACTACTCTGAGAAACCTGGGAGCTCTGTATAGACGCCAGGGAAAGTTGGAAGCAGCCGAGACCTTGGAGGAATGTGCCCTGCGGTCCCGGAAACAGGTGAGAGGTCCATGAAGGAAGGACTCTGGGGACAAAGGACAGCTGAGGCTTCTTGTGAATTTCTAAGAATAAGAGAAGAGGCTGCTGGGGAGGATCGCGGGGAAAGGCAGGCAAGGCAATCTTGTGCTGTGGTGTGGTGGTTCTAAGCGTGTTCTTCCTCTAAACCTGACTTTTGTAGTCAGGCCACGGAGTTCAAGATTCCCTTCAATAAATGCAACCATGTAAGGGGAAACCCTTCCCTTTGACACGGGTGATGTGGGTGCAGCCCTAAGTTAGAATTTTTCAAATTGTGGGTCTCTACTGATTAGTAGGTTGTAAAAATTCAGTGTGGGCCCTGGCTCAAATTACACGTATGTGCATCTAGGAATGCACTGTAAACAGAAAAGGTGAATGTTGCTAGTAGTCGTATGCCGGGATGCCATAAGTAAGGGAAAATGTTGTCCTTGTGAGGGCTGATGGTGAAAGAAAGATGGAAGGAAAGCCATCCCAAGGAGCTAAGGAAGTCCCAGCTCCTTCCTTCTCCTTCCAGGGCACCGATCCTATCAGCCAAACGAAGGTGGCAGAGCTGCTTGGAGAGGGTGATGGGAGGAGGACCTCTCAGGAGGGAGGGGACAGTGTGAAATTCGAGGGAGGTGACGATGCTTCTGTGGCTGTGGAGTGGTCAGGGGTAAGTGTGATCATTGCTCCTTGGTCTCTACCACCCTGTCTTGCAGGCTCTAAGTGGGCCATTCTCTAGGTTCATGCAAGTTACACGGGGGTTCATATCCCCCTTTCCAGTTAGCCTATCCCTTCAGGCACGCTGGCTTTTGATAGGGTTCTGTTCTCACTTAAGACTTTGGGGACGTGGACACATACGGAATAAATGGAGTGGACTTAGAAGGTGATCCGCACGGGGTCCCTTTAGCTCCCATCACCTCCCTCTCTCTGCCAGGATGGCAGTGGGACCCTGCAGAGGAGTGGCTCTCTGGGCAAGATCCGAGATGTCCTTCGTAGAAGCAGCGAACTTCTGGTGAGGAAGCTCCAGGGGACTGAGCCTCGGCCCTCAAGGTACACAGTGAAGTTGAGCTAGGGCAGAGCAGGCAAGCAAGCCCTTGTCTGTGATTCCCCTTGGCTGCTGATCTCTGGAGAAGTGTCTTGGGGAGACCCACGGAGGAGGTCAATGAGGTGGCCATGGTGAGTCTGGGCAGAATGGGCAACCTGGGATGCAGGTCCCTGAGCTGATGATCGTACCTGGTGTGGAGAAGAGAAATAGGAAACAGTGGGAAGGCACTGGTTTGATTTTCTGTGGCAATGCCTACAAAGCCCCACTTTAGGACTACTCAGAAGACAGGACATTTCAGTTCTTTCTTTCTCCATTGTAGCAGCAACATGAAGCGAGCAGCTTCCTTGAACTTTCTGAACCAACCCAATGCGGCACCCCTCCAGGTAAGAGGAGGGCAGTGAGCACAGGGGTGCAGGGAGAGAGGGCTGTTGGCACCCAGACAGGCCCAGCGGGAGTCCGAGAAAAGCAGGGATGGTGAGCCAGGAAACTGGAGTCCTTGAGGAAGCAGGCTAACAGTGTGGTGTTGGAGTGGCAAGTACTAGACACAGTAGCAGGTCTCTCAGGAGGAGAGTGGGAACTGACGTTCTCTAAAGTGGTTCTTGGAGGCTATAAATAAGCCAAGAATGCTTTGGGGATGCTAGCTGCTTTTTCTCTTTCTCGGCAGCCACCTTACTCTTCACTTTGGGAACTTAGGAGGTGATGGGAAAGGAAAAAGAATTACTTAATCTCTCTTCGAGAAAACAGCAGTAATATTTCAATGGTACATGATCTCGTGTGTCAGCTCATTCAGAGTACATGCCAATATTGTGTGTGTGTGTGTGTGTGTGTGTGTGTGTGCGCGCGCATGCGCGCGCACACATGCGCACGTGCCAGTATTGGGGCTTGAACTCAGGACCTGGGTGCTGTCCCTTAGCTTTTCCCGGTCCAAGGCTTGAGCCATAGCTGCACCTCCTGCTTTTTGGTGGTTAATTGGAGAGAAGAGTCTCATGGACTTTCCTGTCCAGGCTGGCTTTGAACTGCCATCCTGAGATCTCAATTTCCTGAGTAGCCTGTCACTGGTGCCTGGTAATGCCATTATTCTTATGACTCCACGTGGCCTTCTGGAAGAATCCTAGCAGAGGTTGACTAAAGCCCTAGAGCTTGAGGTTGAGGTTATAGGCTCAATGCTAGGTTCAGCAGATTGCAGCTGTGGGTTAGAAGGATTCAAAGATAGTCATCAGGAGGGTGGAAGGCCCAGGCTGATCAGGTGGTGTGGTATTTTGTTCCAGGTCTCCCGGGGCCTCAGTGCCAGCACCATGGACCTCTCTTCAAGTAGCTGACATTCAACTTGTCTTCCTGAAGGCCTCTTGGGCCCACACAGGCCTCACAGCATTCCCCATTGCTCCTGACTCCTCACCCCACGTTGGGACAGTGAAGGGGGAGCAGTGCAACCAGAAGGTTGCGGCTGCCTGTAGGGTCTCGGCTCCCTCCTCAGGAATCTCCCTTAGGAAAGACCCTCAGGACACGCTAGCCCCACCCTGGAGTCCTCCAGAGTAGTTGGCTCTGAGGTTCCCAAGGTGGGCACAAAGCAAGGATGATGCATCTCAGAGCTGCATCTCAGAGATGCTTCAGGCTATTCTGCCAGAGGGTTTGGGTCTGGCCAGCCAATCTGCCTTGCCCTGGCCTCTCTTGTCCCATCCCCTCTGCTGCCTCACTTCAGGTCCATGTATTTCACATTTCTTAAATAAAAGAATCAGGTAACCTTTCTGCTGCTTGAGTCCTGATTGATGAGGGCAGGACACATGGTTGTGTTGGGGCCTTCACAGGAGGGAGAGGCAATGATGGAGGGACAAGGGAGAACTGTTGATTCTTGCATCTCTCTCCTCTTCCTCTGCCTAGCTCATACCCACTCCAGCAGGGCCTGGAGGAAGGCATCTATCTGGGGGATGGGAAGGAGGCCCACAACCCAAGGAGAAGGTGCTGTGGACTGTTGTCAGGGACATGTGGTGGCCATGTGGCAGGACCCTGGAGTCCTGGCGCCACTTCTCCTGCCTGTGAGGCCCTCTGTGGCTTCCCCTCCTCCTCCCAGCTGCTTGGGGGAGGGAGGTCTGAGCAGGCCTGGGGGGCCCTCCAGAGCCGGAGGGGGACAAGGCACCATCCATCCCCTCTCACATATCCTGGAGGCCTGTCAGCAGCTGGGGCCCATCTTCTAAAGCTTGACTCCTCCTGACCCGCCTCCTACACCCCTTGCTGCTTTCACAACAAAGAAAGAATGTGGGGGTGGTGGCCCTGGGGGTGGGGGTGCCTGGAACAAGGGCTGTGCTGGGCCTCCCCATAGCTGGAGACTTGGCCATGCCCTGACACAGCCCAGACTGCCTGGAGATGGACTTGGCATGGATTTGTTTAACAGTCTTCAGCCTGGCTCTCTAGAGCCACGACGTTTCTACCCTTAGGTTCAAAGTAGTCAAGAGCCAAACCAACCGGACCCCAGCCCACCCTGTCCTCCTCCTGCTCCCTGTCCACGGCCCACCTCCAGGTTACCCAACGTGGGGATATCAGGGACGCCCTGCTGGCCTGGCTCATCTAGGATTCTGGGGAAACTAGATCAGACCCTCCGGGTGACCTCCTCAGGGAGCAGGGAATGTCGGGAGCCACTTGGGTTCCCCAGATCCCTGCGGGCAGACCAGGTGGTGGGCACAGGAAACGCGTCCCTACCTTACCCAGGTCTCCTCAGAGCCGGGTTCCTCCGTGCTCCCCAGCCCCCTCCGTTCCTGCCCTAGAGTCCTCCCCTCGACTGCGAGCTCCTCCCAGCCACGGCGGGGAGGGGGCGCCGAGGGGCGGGGCCTGGCGGCGGCGGCGGGGAGGGGGCGCCGAGGGGCGGGGCTTGGTGGCGGCCGACGGAGAGGGGGCGCCGAGGGGCGGGGCCTGGCGGCGGCGGCGGCGGCGCGCGAGGACTCGGAGGTGCCCGGCGCGCGCGGCTCCAGCTCGGGACGCCTGGGGTTCGGGCTCCGGCTGCTGCAGCGGTGCCCGCGCTCCGGTGCCCGCGCTCCGGTGCGTCGGCCTCCTGGGCCCGCCACGGGGCGCCGTCCGCGCGCCCGCCGTGCGCCCTCCACCCACCTTCCCCGGTCCCAGCGCGATGGGGTCCGCGGGCCGGCTGCCTCTGCTCGGCGTCCTGCTGCTGCCGCTGCTGGGCGGTGAGTCCCGGCGGCCCGGGGTCCCGGGGGCCAGAGGAGCCGGGGAGGTGGGTGGGGCGGGGGGGCGGGACCCCCGTGGTCGGGTTGGGGGCTGGTGGCGGGGGCTGGGAGGCGACCCCAGTGGGAAGGACGCGGCGAGACGAGGGTCGGGAGCCCTCGGGGTCCCTTCTCCCTTCCCGCCCGGGGCGTATGTTCCCAGTCTCCGGAGACTTTCTCCCGGGTTTCCCGGCCTGGGACTTTGCTTCCCAGTTGCCGGCTCCCGGGCCCGGGGTGGGGAGTTTCTTTTCGGGGCGGGGGTCCCCCACCCCCGCGAGAGGTGCGGGGTGCGGGCTGCCTGGGGGAGGGTGCGGGGAGGCGCGGCGACCCCCGCGGGCGCAGCCCAGGTGAGCGCGGCCGGCCCGGCCCGGAGCCCGAGCGACCTGCGGCGCGCAGCGCTCCAGCTTTGTTACCTCCGCCGCTCCCCTCCCGCAAGTTCCGGGGGACGCCGGGACCCCAGATGGCCCTGCCCCAGAGCGCGGAAGGAGGGGAGAATAAAGGGCTGTGCTATCTCCCCCGGCTCCTGGGCCTGAGCCCGCTCCGTGCCAGGGTGGAATCCCGGGAGCGCAGGGTCCTAGGCTGCCTCGGTGACGAATGTGCGAAGGCCTCTGCCAAAATCGGGCATGGCCGGCCTGCCAAGGTGTGGACAGGGTTTGTTCTGTTCCTTCCTGGATTTCCATTCTGTCTGTCCTCTGTGAGGAAAGAAAACTCTCCCTCAGGACAGAAAGGCTTTAAACAAGAGCTCCCTGGCTCAGACTTTTCTTGGAGGGCCTCAGCATTTTGACCAGGGTGTGGATCCCATCTCTAGGGCAAACTGGACCCCCCCCTCCCCCCGCCCCCTGCCCCGTTCCCTCCTGCAGCTTTTATTTCCTGTCTCGATCACACCTGAGTGTCACCATTGAGGTGTTGGAAAAGTGCTCTACAGGAAATCACTTTGCTGCCCAAAAGTAGGTCCTAAAACAGCCTGGTCTAGAAATGATTCCCCCCCCCCCCCCCCCCCCGCCCTCTTTTCCAAACACAAAATCGTGGGTGGTGGTCCTTAAAACAGCTCTGTTTGGGGATCTGCCTAGTTTATCACTTTCCCCCTCCTTTGAAGAGCTGCAGTGGGGAGGGCAATTGCCTTTCCTGTCATCTTCCTGGCCTGCCAACTGTGAGAGGGGGACCGGCTAGTAGGACTAATCCCCCCCCCATTGTAAAAGGAGAGCTAAATGTAACCCAGGAAAAGAACCAGCCTTGGGCGTTATTCATAAACGTTGTTTCTGGAATTGCCCTTGTGTTTCTTCTGATGTGCATGGTGGTTATTGCTCATGGCAGAATCCACATCTGCTCCCAGAGGAAGTATGGAAGTTTTTTTGCACAGCTAGGATGGGGCCCCAGCCATATGGGCAAACAGCCTGAGCTCACAGGCCTCCTGGGTCGCCTGGTTGGGTTTTGGAGTGTGGTTCTACCTGATGTGGCTGCTTTCCCGGCTGTGGGCAGGAGTTCTGAAGTCAAGGGAGATTCTGGTGGAGGCTGTCGTTCAGTGATGCTAAATTCCTTCCATGAGAAGAAGTCTCTGATGTTCATGGAAGTGAATCTGGTGTTGGGTAGTAGTGGGGGGGAGGGGGAGTTAGGGCAGGCTGAGGGCTTGGGACAGGAGGTCTGGCATCTCCTCTGGGGGCTAAGGGGGATGTCTCAGCTCAACAAAGGAACATTTTAATGAGAGCCTTAAATCAGTTCCACCAAATGTGCCTTGGTGTGGAACCTGTCCATGTGCTGTAAACAATTTCAGACAAGGCTGAGGCGCCTCCTGTCTTGCAGTGAAATCCCAAGACTCTGCTACCCAGAGGCATGACTTCAGGGGCAACCATTTTATTTTTCAAGATATTTTATCGTTACTATAAAGCTGATGTACAGAGGAGTTACAGTTACATAAGACAGGTAAAAAGTACATGTCTGTTTGGACAATGCCTTTTCTCAGTTTTTCCCTCCCATCCCCACCTACAAGTTGTATAGTTCATGTTCCACATAGTGTTTAGTGAGTACCATTGCTGCATTCACCCATTAGCCCTCCATTTCTGTGTACCCCCACATTCTCTAATTTTCTTTTTCTTCTTAAAAAATAGATCACAGTACATTTTTTCCCCATCTCATGCTTCACTAACTGATGTTGTAGCAAGATCTCTTAGTTAATAAGACTGGAATTAGGAACCTAGGCTGGTAAGCTTTGTGGATTAGACCATTTTGAAGTTTGGGTAATTATGCTGTAAATGTCTCAGTTACTTTCCAAACTTAGAGATCCCTGGTGTGATAAATGTGGGGGGGAGGATGGGGGAGGGAAGAGAAGGAGGAGGAGGAGGACGAAGAGGAGGAGGAGGAGGAGGAAGAGAGGCCATGGCTTGACTTCTGAGATCTGGGATTTGTAACACTCTGTTGTGGCTAGTATTCTATGCATCCCCGTCCCCATACTTCCCTCCCTGGATTCTTTCCTCCAAGTTCTAGTTTCTTTGGGGGAAATTAAGTCGTCATATTCTGGGATTTGCTGTCCTGCAAATTCCTCAAGCAAATTCTTCTGTAGCCTGTAATTCAGGCCTGGGATTTGCTTTTATCAGTCCTGCCTTTTCTTAGCTGGCAGGAGGGCAAGCAAGTATGAGCTCCCCTTCACTTCCAGAGGGTATGGGCAGACTCCTGGCCTGAGCAACGGGTGGACAGAGCTCAGCTATGGAGTATTTGACCCAAACACAAATTTCTTTCTTTTTTTTTTTTTTCTTTTTGGTCGGTCGTGGGGTTTGAACTCTGGGCCTGGGCGCTGTCCTGAGCTCTTCAGCTCAAGGCCAGCGCTCTACCACTTGAGCTACAGCGCCACTTCCGGTTTTCTGGTGGTTTATTGGAGATAAGAGTCTCATGGTCTCTCCTGCCCGGGCTGGCTTTGAACCGCGATCCTCAGATCTCAGCCTCCTGAGTAGTTAGGATTACAGGCGTGAGCCACCAGCGCCCGGCTCAAACACAAATTTCTTGACTTCTCAAGTTTGCCTCCTTTGTAAAGATGTTTCCTTCTTGGAGTTGTGCTGAGGATAGAGTGGAACGAAGGGTATAAAGGCCCCTTTCTTGGTCTTCCCTCTTCTGTGGTGTGCTCCCAACATACCTTTTCTAGCTTTACAATCATCCCGACCTTCAACATTCCCAATGTCTCCTGGAGCCCTCCATTCCAGCCAACTGGCAGATCTGCCATCTCCTAAGACATAACCTGTTTTTCTTTACTCTGGACTAATCCCCCCATCTTTCTTTGGCCGAACACACCTCTACTTCCTCCCAGAAGCCCTCCCTCTCCTGCTAGAGAGTGGCCACCCATAGAACTTCTCTGGTCTCTGTCATATTAGGACACCTTCCATATTTTCTTCCTGGTGGGGCTTAATTTTACTGAAGACCTCCCCTGTGGAGTGCAGGACAGTACCTTATTTATAGCGGATCCTTATCTAGGTTCATTAAAAATGGGAGTGAACCTTTTTGGTATGAGATAATGAAGGGCAGATTAAACTTCCCTTTTGGATTTTAGGCATTGGGGGGTCTTTTGTGTCCTGCTCAGCTTTTCTGGGGTGGAGTTGCCTGGTGTTCCTCCTGGAAACTGATGAAATGAAGGAATCAGATCCTCCTCCCCTCGTTTCTGGCGGGCTGTCCTTTGTGGTAACTTCTGAATTTTGATGTGGTAGAGTTTCTGGCCCTCTCCTGCAGTTCTGGGCATGAGCAGCCACCTTTGCGTATGAAGCTGGCTTACCTTGAAAGATTGGACTTGAGAAACTGCTGCTGAGGCTCCTTTTGCAGTGAACTGTATAGGGGTCTAGATTTTCCTTAACTTTATTATCAAAATAAGGCTCAAAGTCAAGTGACTTAAGCATTCTCCGAGTCAGAATCACAACCAACCAACTAACCTCCCTCCCTTCCTCCTTTCCTCCCTCCCTCGCTCCCTTCCTTCCTTCCTTCCCCTCCCTCCTCCTTCCTTCCCTCTCTTTTTCTCTTTCTCTCTCTCCCTCTCTTTCTTTCTTTTTTTGAGACAGTGTCTCATGTAGGCCCAGGCTGGCCTCAACCTCCAGATCTTCCCGCCTTAGCCTTCTGAGTGCTGGAATTTCAGGGATGCACCACCATGCCTGACTACAGTCCATATTTTAACAAGACTCCAAAGGTCCCCAAGTCCTGGGCTAGGGCATCCCTGCTTAGAAATAGAAATTCAAGGGTTTTTCCTCTTGCAACTGGGTAAACTAGGGCTGGAGACCTTGCACAATATTTGAAGATTTGCTTTAAATAACTGAGTTCCTGTGAACACTCTTTGGTGTGATGTGTAATATCGCAGCACTTTGGGTTTAATTTGAATTAGATTTTACCGAGACCCTTGCCTACTGAATGTGTGAATCTGGGAGCTTTACAACATTAAATGTGACTCGTAGCTTCTCTTGGAGCCTCTCAGCTTTCCCTGGAGGAACATGCATCTCTATTTCTCTCTCATTTAATTATGTATGAATTTATTTATTTAGCTGCTGGACTTGGGGTTTGAACTTAGGGCCTGAGTATTGTCCCTGGGCTTTTCCACTCAAGGCTAGTGCTCTACCACTTTGAGCCACAGCTCTGCTTTTTGGTGGTTAATTGGAGAGAAGAATCTGATGGGGTTTTACTGCTGGGTTGGTTTCAAACCATGATCCTCAGATCTCAGCCTCTTGAGTAGCTAGGATTACAGATGTGTGCCACCAGTGCCCAGCTTCCTTAAAAAAAAATACATATACATATATATGTGTGTGTGTGTATATACATATGTATATATATTTGTATATATGTATATATACATACACACACACACACACACACACACATATGGGAAGCCATTGGAGACATGGGGTTTATTAGGCAGGAGTTTGGTTGAAGAGTGACTTTTCAGGAACACACTTGGGAGGCCAGCCTTCGCTGGGCTGTTGTTAGTCTGAATCATTTCCTAC